CTATCTAGATGAAAAGGAATTTTTCCTTTAACTGTTATCATTTTTTTCTAATCTTTTTTTTTACAATCTTTCAGAACAATTATTATTTCACCCAAATGTTGACATGTTATTGTTGTTGTTGTTGCTGTTCATATTTGGTCAAAATGTCAGTCAATGTTTTCGTTAATAATTGGATGATGACATTTGTTTTGTTTTGTTTTTTAGGTGGGCTTTATTATTATCATTATTATAACAGTGGGCCAAATATATATGCAAATTTCCATAATGGTCATTGTTTGGCGCGACCTTTGAATTTATAATGAAATAATTTTTGTTTTTCTTTCTTTCTTTCTTTCGATAATAATGTTACTACAAATAGATGTCGATTTGAATATAATCTTAAGTGATGTACATATTTTGAACAACAAATAAATGAATGAACACGATGAACGAGATATTTTTTTTGTTCAGCAAAATATCACAAAAAAAAATCTTGAGATGAATTTAATTCAAAATGAAATCTCTTTTGAAAACAATGTCCGATAACGATAACGGTAACAACGACTAGTCATTGAAATTCTGAATCAGATGATTGAGTCACTTTGATCGTGATGTTCGACTTGCTTTTCCTTTTTTTTTATTCACTCATTCTTCTTAATCATCATTTTTTATAAAAATATTTATATCGTTCAATTTGAATCATTCCATACATCAATGTTTCCAACACACACATTTATGCAAAATAAACATGTGTGTTTAAAATTCTCCATACATAGACCATGAAGTTCACTGGACTCATTTATGGATGAAACAGTTCAAATTCAGAAATTCAATATCAGTACCCAAATGTGTTTGATGTTCGTTTGCGTGTGTGTTCAGAATGCGAAAAGAATAAGCTTTTAGCTGAATAACCGCATACACAAAAGCCGACGATCTAATAGAGAAAAAAGTAAAAACCTCACTACTTTTCAATATATTGATTCTAAATATAGAATTTTCGTTGTAGCATTTTTTTTCTATTTCATCATCATCATGTTGATCGGAACTTGCACTCGTTTTTAACAACTTGATGATTTAATATTCTTGATGCATAAGATTTTTTTTTTGGATAATGTTAGCGAAATGAAAAGGAAAAAATAATGAGCAAATTTCCATTTTTATTTTCACTATTGTTTTGCTATATTTTGAGTGTTCTTCAACAGAAGATCATTTGAATTATGATATTTCATATGAAATGAAAGGATTAAATGATCATGAATATGGTATTATGACAAGTATTAGTTTTCTTTTGTGTCTTTCAAAACAGAGAAAAAAAGAGATCAAGATGATATTGAATTTTTCAATATGATCCGATTTCGTTTCTTGTTCAACTTTCATCAAGATGAATCTTGATGTTTTTTTTCTTCTTCTACATTTCATTGCCAATAATTTATGATGTTATCATTTTACAAACAACGACAACAATAGCGAAGAATTGTTAATTGATATAAACTTTCTCAAGATGTCATCGATATCATCGACCTCTTCTTTTTGTAAACTTTTTGTACCAATTATAAATTCGTTTTTTTTGTTTTCATTCATTATTGGATCGATTGAATTATGAAAAGATTTTTTTTCTTACACTCTTGAAACAGACAATTGTTTTTTTCAACAACAATATTATCATATTCGTTACGTAAGTTTATGTAAATTTGTCCAAAAAAGAAATTCATTTGATTAGAATCAGTGAAAAAAAATGGAGAAAAAATAACAAAAATCATTATCGATTGATCGATGAATTTTTTGGCTGTTGTTGCCAACCTTTTGTTTGTTTGTCAAGTGATCAATGAACAATTTTTTTTCCATTGTCATCATTATGATCGGTCGATAACTTGTTAACACAAACACACGATTGTGACCCATTGCAGACACACACATTGAGAGATGCCAAGGTGCCAGATGTTCCAACACGTTCCACAACATTTTCCATCTTGAATTGTGGAATATTTTCTTTGCGGTTTTTTTCACTATTGTTCGCAGTGATGATGATGATAATAATAATGACCACGAAGATGTTGATGATAACGTTGAAAGAAAAATTATAATTGTTTTGTCGATTGAATGAATGATGATGATGATGATGGTGGTCAATCAAACGCTGAATATGAAACAGCAAAGAAAAAATTATTGCAAAATTTGAAAATAAAGTTGAAAAAAAAAACGAAAAATTCAAATAATTAATCTGATTCTCTAACAAATTGATTGTAAGTGGGTGTGTGTTTTTCAATCAATCCTTTGTTTCAATATCAATAAGATCGTTTTGATCCAATGTTTGCGTGTGTGTGTGTATGTTATTCTACACGATTTATTTTACAATTGAATTTGATAAAATAAAAATGATAATGATAATTAAGTAGGAGAAAATTAAAATTTTAATTTAGAAAGAAAAAAAAAACTAAAAAAAATCTGCCATTATTTTCAAGGTGTTTATTATCATCATCATCATCATTATCAAACATTCAATCATGATATTCGATAATAACACATATATCTCTGTTGATTAAGAAAAACAACTAAAACGCCTCGTTAAATTTCCTTTGTTGTTTTTGTTGATACTTTCATCTGTTTTATCGCTTATTATTCCCATAAATAAATCCTTATAATCTTTAATTTGGCCCACGTTTGATTGCAATCGATCGATCGATTGATTGATCCATTTGTTCAACATGTTGTCTTGACAATATTAATTGGTTTGCAGTGGTAAAAAACAAAGAACGCAACACCACATGTTGTACCATGTTTAGAATTCAAAAGAAAACAAAACATTTTTAGCAAATGAAAAACAAAACAAAATAGACATTTGTTTTTTTAAAAGAATCTGTTGAAAGGATCGAAAACTAAAAAACTGCATTTCATCGATCGCTTTTTCCATCCATCCATCCATCCATCAACGATCAACCAAAATCAACAGCTTTTCAACAACAACAGTTATTTTGTTTTGTTAGTTGATGATGGACTGATGGGCCATTAAGATTTTGTTTTAAAATTTTTTTGTTCAAAAGAAAAATCTAATCGTTTTTTGAAATTTCCTTTTTGAATCCGTTATGTCCATTATGGTTTTGTCTCTAAAAAAAATTAGTATTTAAAAAGCCTTTTTTCTGGATGCTTTTAATTTTTGTTTTGTTTAAATAAAATTTTTTCTAATTTTAATTTCATTTTTCTTTTCATTTTTTTTGTCTAGTTTTTCTGGCTTCGATTTGGTTCATTTGGACAACGATAATTTCAGCAATTTTCTTGTTTGCATGATGAAAAAATTTTCATCTGGAAATTAAATTGAGAAAATATTTTTTTTGTTTGCCAGAAATTGTCGACCATTTTCGATGAAAAATATCCAAGCAATGATAAATAATTACAACAACCGGAAGAATAACTGAAGAATTATCGTTTCGTTAAATGGAAATTCAAGAAAAAAAACATTTACACACCCTATGGATGTTATATTATGATCCAAAAACAGAAGATTTTAAATGATCATTACAAAAATTCACTATTTTTATAATTTTGTCCGGAAAAAAAGTGTTAATTTTTTCATTTCAAATAAATTTTCAAAAAACACACAACAAATTTAAAAACAGATTTTTTTTTGTCATTTTTTTCAACAAGGAAAAAATTGGTCAAAAAAATAAACAACAACAGCACACATTTATTAATGTTTTTCACAAATTCCGGCTTGTCTCGTCATCGGTATTGGGTTGGGGTTCATCATTTTGTATTAATTATTCGTTTTAATTAGCAACGAAACGAAAGATTATCCGGATATTCTAATTTTTCGTAATCTTTGTTGTTTTCGTTCATAGGCTAAAACAACAACAAAAAAGTGTAGACATTCATTTTCCTGAATGGGTGTTTTCATCCTCCCATTCATATAATATCTTCGTGATAATGATGATGATGGAAATGGAGATGAAGATGATGGCCATCATCATTATCATATACAACTGATAATTGATGCACCTTATTTCATTATTTTCTTTGTTGTTGTCGTCAAACTAATTACCACCACCACAACAACAACAACAACATTTATCATAAACATCACCACACATATACAATCATTATCAACATAATCTAAACAATCTTCATTCTATATAGTTGGAAAAAAAATCTGGAGAAAAAAAAAATCTGTCATCAACGAACAGCAACAACAACAACAACGGAAAATCTTTTTTCTTCTTTTTTCCGATGTGTACGACAAGAAAGAAACACAGAGAAAGATCCCGTTAGTTGATCTCGAATAAAAAGTCAACGAACAATAACAATTTCAATCAAGATTCTAATGTTTTGTTGATCATTATCATCATCATCGTCATCCTCATCATCAAACAGCTACATTATTGATGATTAATTTATACTGTGAATGATGACGATGTTTGTAACAACAACGAGAAAAAAGAATTCTCCGACAATCAACAGACAACGGAAGATGCAATGTTGACATTCGATTCTATTGAAAAATTTAACCGAAACAAAAAAAAACAAATTCTATTTATTCTGATTCATCATCTTTATTTATATATAAAAAATTATGAATTCTCATTCAAATCATTGCCATTTATTAAGCACAAATCAATGTGAAGAAGAATCTTTGTTTTCATTCGTATGAATGAATGAAAACAAATGATGATGATGATAAAGTCATTGTATGATCATTTATTAGTTCATTTCACAACCACTGCCCATTGTTACTGAATCAGTTTTTTCGAATTTATAGAATATGTTTACATAGAATTTACAACGACAACAAAAACAGCATCAAATACATCATCATTATCATCATTCCTTCGATTGATACGCACATTATTTTTATTCATGACCAATAATCTACTTTGAAACAAAACAATCAGATAATTCATTTTTTTCAATCATCAGTATTTATTATTGTATTTATTATCAAACAGATATTTTTTGCTTTTATTTCTTGTTTTCTCATCATATTTATTTCGAAATTTTGTATAAATTTTATCCGAATTAAAATTCATAATGAAGACAATCATTGTTTCACCATCATCGACAACGATGAAATCACAACAACAACAACAACAATCATCATCATCATTTGTTAATGATGATTATGAATATCTTATGAAAGATACTGATCTAATAACTACCTGTCAGGTATGTAATGAAAAAATTTTCTTTTCAAAATTATAATAATTTTTATTGTTTATTTTTTATAATAGGAAGCGTTAGAGGAAAATAATTATAATAATAATCATCATAATCATCATCTTAATAATCAGATAACTAGTTCAACATTAGATTATCAACAACAACAACAACAACAATCCGAGCTTTCTTTATCATCATCATGTTCAAAATTTAATTCCATAACAAATTGCCAACAACAATTACAATCTTCTGCCAATATTAATCATCATTGTGATCATAATCATCATCAGAATTCGAATGATTTTACTTTAATGCGTTCACCATCATCAGCCGCAAGTAGTGGTCTTGGTCTTTCGCTTGAAGAAGATTATTCGCTAAAATATTGTCAATCGGTAATTAATTGGTTTTTTTGGAACATTTTTTAAAACTTATTTTTTATATTTGTCAATATAGGATGAAGAATTTTCATCGTTAAATTCAACCACTACCAATAATAATGAATCGATGAATGGAACAAGTTCAACTTCATATACGGCCAAAGCATTAGTTGCTGAATTCATTGAATGGCTTGATTATATTGAAAATCAATTGGATTCAGTTTGTTATTGTGCCAAAATTGCTCATGATGCCAATCGATCTGATCATGATGATGATGTTGATGATGAAATCGATGACTTTGATGAATCTGATAATGAAAATGATGATTATCAAAAATTAAATAGTGATATTTTGCTTAATAATGGCCAAATTGATATGGATCTTACATTGATAGTCAATTCAGATGATTCTTTTGATAATCATCAATTGAATAATAATAAATCACAAAGTGATGAAACCTGTTGCATATTGCCACAGCAACAAGTTATCATTGATCATGAAGATTCAATCGATGATGATGAAGCTGAAGAATTGATGATGTCAATGAAACCAATTTCGACTACTACTGTAGCCGATCAAGTGATCAATAACAATAGTCAACAACAATCAAATGGTTATAAACCATTATGTTTAAGTGAATTGAAAACAATTGATAATGATGATGTTGAACCATCGATTCAAAGTACTTCAACATCATCATCATCATCATCATCATTTGAAATGTCAATGTCCAAAACAAATTTGTGTTTATTACCGGAAACGATTGGAGCCGATTGGAGTGTTATTTTGGCACGTCATGAGGTAGGTGTCAAAATATAATTTTTGAAGAAGCAAAAAAAATAAGTGTTCCCAACTCAACATTTGACTTGTATTCATTTTTTTTGTGAATTACATTTC